ACAATCCCAATACAAGACTTGTTGTGATATCAACACATGAATCAACAAACGTACTGAAATAGGCACAATATATTTGGCTACAGAATATATGGTATTTGGCTTTCTGTACAGTATCAACTCACGTGGAGCTCAAGAAATGACGTCATTATAGCAACTTACTTTATTATAGCCAGAGATCCTGTAGATATTGATGCAAATAAGTTAACAAATAGTAAAGTAACATTCATTATGAACGATATCCGTGCTAGGAATCGATCTCTATCCTGTTTCTGCTGAAAGTTTCTACAATCAAAACTGGCGGTTACTATTCTATAAAATACAATAAAAAAATAAACATATCACAGGCATCTTGACTGTAAAATTAATCAGAAAACAAACCTTATTAATTGTTTTTTCACCGTGAATGACCTGACGATCGTAGTCGAAACATTTCAATAGCTCACTCAGCTCTTCATAGTACTGCAATAACGAAAATGACTCGGTTTCTAAGTGGTCTTCCCTCACCTGTGACTCTAACAAGGGTTCGAGTGGCAGGCCAAAAGTTGCTGTTAAAGGCAAGTCAAGCTACTAGGGAGCAGACTTTTCATTAGACATCCAATCGTTAGTTATTCATTCGTACATAAGTACACTTCTCTTCAGTATGAATGCGCCGACCGCATTAGCGCAATACCCTTTGAGGGGAGAGTTCGTATGACGATAGACACGGTTTCTCATGCTGTTGAGCTCAATCATCAACCGCTACGGTCTCCACCCCTCCCCCGAAACTGTCTTTCAATCGGGCTATCTGCTCTGTCATCCTTGCTTGCCTTCTTATAAACTCTTCGTTGTCCAACAGCGATCCTCGGAGGGTGTGATGTAGGAGAAGGCAATGAGGAGACTCTCTACAGAGCTTCGTTCATCAGCGTTGAATGATTCACTGCTGCGAGTACAACTTTTAGCAAGGCGATTGGGACCTAACCTCCATCCCCTCCCTCCTTCTCCTCTCCCTTGAAAACTCCTCTAGATATTACCCTGTGATGGACTGATCCGTTCACAGCGCCCTGCAAAATTTTGCAAGGGGTCCCACTGCGCGGGTGTCCTTTGGTACTCCCGACCCGCATCCATAGGGTAAAAAATTTGAGAAACCAAACAAAAGTGAGAGGGAAAAATACTTGTGTGAAATATTTAGGCCATGCGCAAGTAAAATTATAATACTATCTCCCTTTCTTTCGAGAATACGAAATCAAGAATTTTCTAAAACGTCCGTACCTTCTCTTTTTCACGTTCCCTTCGTCGACGTTCGAAATATCCAACCTTTAGGTCTTCATGGTGGTCGTCTATTGGCTTTTTACGTTGTACGACTTTATTGTCTCCATACAGTTTACTTTTCTCAATGCCATTACCAAATAGTAATGGTGAAGACTCAGCCACCATTCAGTGAAGTTCTAACGTCTGGAAAAAAAAATTGTTCATTAAACATGCTTGGTTCTTTGCATCAATGATATGTATCGTTACTATCCCAACTGGAACAACACATTCAGCTTCTTTACAGATGACCTGATGGACAAAGGATGAAGCCTTAATTGATCCCTCTATGGAATGCGCCCACCATTCGGCTTTTATCAAGAGGAGTAATGGTGTTTGAATGCGCAGGTGACCCATACAATGACTCGCGGTGATCAGCTGATATAAGTGCTTCCATCCTTCCAAACGA